GAAAAAAAATATTCTTGCAGAGCCTCATTGCACCTGCCAGCCCCTCTAACAACAATGTCTAATCATTGTAAGATTGATCTAATGTTTGCAAACCAGGGCTTGGTTTAGTGGTGAAAGAGACTTGTCTCCTTCTACTGTATTTGGGTTCGAGTCCTGGTGTGCATGCCTATCATCCCCGCGGTACTTTATATGCCTACTGAGTTTGCAAGGTATTCAGTGGGCCGTGAGGATTAGTCATGGTACGCGCAAACTGACCTGAACATCCCACATAAATCAAAAAAAGAAAAAAGATTGATCTAATGTTCTAAATATGGTGTTGATATTACCCTGTTTTAGAGAGAATGGAAAAGTGCTTGCAAAATGATCATGAGAATGATAAAGGACAAAAGGAAGACTGGGAGCTACCACTCTTTGAGTTCACTGCAATAGCTAATGCCACCAGCAACTTTTCGATCAACAATAAGTTAGGAGAAGGTGGATATGGACCTGTCTACAAGGTAAACTTTAAAAATGCCTAGCAAACGTCCTATGTGACAACTAAGGCATTTTAATTTATGCAGAGAAGCGCAGGTATTTTATAGATGTTTTCTTTTAGGGTAAGCTAGAAGATGGACAAGAAATTGCTGTCAAGAGGCTGTCAAGGAGTTCTAGACAAGGATTAAATGAGTTCAAAAATGAAGTGATACTACTTAACAAGCTTCAGCACAGAAATCTTGTGAAGCTTCTTGGTTGCTGCATTGAGAGAGAGGAGAAAATGCTGATTTATGATTACATGCCCAACGGAAGCCTGGACTCGTTCATTTTCAGTACGGGTCTCTCGTAACCTAATTAACTTAGTTGGCCTAATCTTCTTCTTCTTCAAAAAAAAAAAAACTTAGTTGGCCTAATTTGCAAAAAAGTGTTATAAGTTTTTGTTGCAATTAAATTCTTTATTTTGTGTATCCCAATAGCAGCTTGGCCTAATATGAAAACATGACTTATCAGATGGGACAAAAGGAAAAATGTTAGACTGGTCAAGGCATTTCAACATCATTTCTGGGATTGCAAGGGGGCTTCTCTATCTTCATCAAGATTCCAGATTGAGAATTATACATAGAGATCTTAAAGCAAGTAATGTTTTACTTGATGATCACATGAATCCAAAAATTTCTGATTTTGGTTTGGCTAGAATGTTTGTTGCTGACCAAACTGAAGGCGACACAAGCAGAGTTGTGGGAACTTAGTAAGACATCTGATTCAATAACCAGTTCTAATATTCCTATATTAACATTATGTATTCTTGTGTTAAACGCTTCATGCAGCGGTTACATGGCACCGGAATACGCTACCGATGGTCTATTCTCAGTGAAATCCGATGTCTTTAGTTTTGGTGTCTTATTGCTTGAGATAATAAGCGGAAAGAAAAGTAAAGGGTTCTACCATCCAGACCATAGCCTTAGCCTTGTTGGACATGTAAGTATTCAAGGTTAAATTGCTTTGTCTTATTACATGTCCTGAACTAATGGCTGACAGCAAGTCTTTTGTTTGTCCTAGACATGGAGATTGTGGAATCAAGGCAAAGCATCAGAGTTTATTGACGCACTGAGAGATGAGTCATGCAATCCCTCAGAAGTGCTGAGATGCATACACATTAGCCTCTTATGCGTGCAACAGCATCCTGATGACCGGCCAAGCATGGCCTCTGTCGTGCGGATGCTCGGAGGGGAGAGTGCATTGCCTAAGCCAAAAGAACCAGCTTTTCTTAATGACAGAGGTCCACTTGAATCAACTTCCTCCTCAAACAAGGTTGGATTATCTTCAACCAATGAGATTACTGTCTCAGTCTTAGAGCCTCGGTAGCTAATTAATGGATATGAATTTTTCACTAATTTCACAGGTTGTGGTAATATTAATTATTGAACCTATATTCCTTTAGCTGGTAAGCTTAACGAATTAATAAGGTCTGGTGATAAACTTTTTAGCAGGATCGATCGCTCTAGTTGTATTTCTTAATTATATTCTGTTTTCTCAATATATATGTATATGAGTACAAGATTTTATTAGTGTAGCAATGCGTATAAAATTACATTATTTTTGCAGATAATAATGACTTGCTTAAGTTTAATCATTTGACAACGTGTTTTAGCTACAAGACAGGGTCAGATAAAAATGTTTTTCAGCTATAACAACGAAACCCGATGCTGCATTGAGAGAGAGGAGAAAATGCTGCATTGGCAGTAAAATTATAGATTTTATGATGCATAAATGTTGAGCAACTTTGTATCAATATCTATAAACACAGCATGAGGTTATAGGAGCATCAGCATGATGCATGCCGTGTCCGAAAATCTTAATTGAAAAATTGCCGAAGCCTGTGAGAAGATCTTTCCAGTCTTCCTGTTCTTGGTCAAAGCTTATAGTTTCATGTGACTTTTAAGCAACAATGACCCGTGATAAGAAAAAATTAATAATAAAGCTTTGATACTTGTCAAGGGAGGCTAGGATCGAAATCATCTTAAACTCTCTCCCCACATAAGAAACTCGACATGACATGATATATATATATATGATAATTGATTTTCGAACTAAAAAAAGTTCAAACGGGAAGCACCACTTACGGAGGGAGGCTAAAATTCCAAGAGATGTGCTATGGTTACAAGAAAAAAGATAACTAATTAGATATTTTCAAGGAAAAAATGAGATCACCCAAAAAAAAAATTAAATTTTTTTTAGATATTTTTATTTCTACGTTCATTTATTCTAAACCACAGCTTATATCCAATTATTATCTAAGTTTATTTTGCAAGTTTATTTTTAAGTCATGTCTTTGATATGAGTTTAGAATTAATCTTAGTATTAATTGGAAAATATTTTATTGTATTTTCATGTCATTGATAAAATACATGAAAAATAAAAATTAAATCTTATGCAATTATTCACAAAATTAAATAAAAATAATTGTCAATTCCTCGAATTAGAAATCTCCACTCTAAATTGGATCCAACTAACTTTCCAAATAAAATATTTAATTATGTGGAAATGCAAATTTTGAAATTCGAATAATGGTCATGAAATGTAAATAAAAGAAAAGGGAATTTATGGCAAGCAAATATGCATGACGACTTATTTTATATAAAAAAGATATACGTTTTAAAAACAAGATTTATGCTAGTGATATATAGACGACATCACAATAAAACAAAAGAAAAATCAAAACAAAACTATGGTTGTCACCGAAACCATTTAGATTTGTCTCGAACGTCAAGCCGGAAGCCTAACGTGTAAGGCTGGACCACCATTATGGAAGATTGATATCACTTGACATGGTGGGTAAACCTAAAATTCAAGGTGACCAGCATCTTGATCCGAGTCGGTGTCAAAATAAAAATAAATTAAGAGTTTACTTGATTGACATGTTAATTAGTAGATTAATTATGATTTAGTTAAGTTAGTCAAAATCAGATTAATTATTTTTTTCATTTTATAACAATATTAATTTTTTAGAGAAAAATCTAAATAAAAAAAACCTAATGTGACCTAGCCACATCAATAAAAAATGATGCCCAATGAAATAATAAAATATATTAATGGTGAGTATTTTTTGTTCAGTTAGGCTAATAATTAAAAAAACTGATTTTTTTAAATAATTTAGGATCAAAATCAATTTTTAATTTTGTTTGGTTTGATTAATTGATGTTAAAAACTGTAAAAAGCTGATTATTTTTTTTGGGGGGGTGGTTTGTGGGTTTTTTTAGACATTTTTCAGGCTTTTAAAAAGTTATTATACGATGTAAAAAAAATCCAATTGCTAACTTTTTGTCTTTTAATTGAATTCCTTGTGATATTTTATGAGCTTTTAAAAAACTTTTAATTGATGTAGAAATCCTATTGCCTAGATTTTTTTATTTTTTATTTTTTGAACTTGGCATTTTAATTTTTTTTTAAGGAGTTATTCACAATATCAATTCATCCTGCTTTAGATAGTTTTGTCACATAAACAAACACAGTGATACAAACAATAAACATCAAAGAGATTACAGTCTTCTACGAAAAAAATAAACATTGATCCATCAATCTAACTTTAGTTTAATTGTATGTCAAAATCCAACGCAAGGAGATGATGGGATGGCATGCCACTTCCAAAACAAAGCAGAAGAAGTTAGCTAATGAGATATTAACTCGTGTAATGCAAACATCTTTATATTGTTTACTTCTTGACTCAAGATAATTTGCAATTGCAAAGTTAGCATGTTGTGAAATAGGAAGGCAATTTACGAACCATTTTTTATTATTATAATTATTTTGATAGGACATAAGACAAGAATCGAAGAACTAAAATATTTTAATTTTTTTAAAAATAATTTCCCTTAAGAACTAACATCAAGAATTAATGAGAGACATCTGGTTTATTTAAAAATATAGTTGTGATTGTTTTTTAAAATATTTTTATTTTAAAAATATATTAAAATAATATTTTTTATTTTTAAAAATTATTTTTAATATTAACGCTTCAAAATGATCTAAAAACATCAAAAAAATATTAATTTAAAATAAAAAAATAAAAAAATAAATCTTTTTAAAAATACTTTTAAAATATAAAAACAAAACGACCGTGAATATACAAATAAAATGAGTAAACTAAAAGATAATATATTTAAACCAACACATGCATTCCATTTGACCCGCAGGAAAAGGCATACTAACACATTGCATTTACAGTAGTTGTAAAATTGACACAAATATTATTAACTTCAGAAAACAGAACTTCTTGATGGAGAGAACGAGTCAATGTTGGAATATTTATCTCTTCCTCCTAAAAAATCTCAGCATAAGCCTGATCAACAAAACCAAACAAACTTATGAGAATTAATTCCAAAAAAAAAAAATACATGTTATGCCATTTTTAATAAAAGCCACAAAATCATCAATTAATGTACTCAGAAATCAACCAATTTGGTTTGATTTGTGTAATTATGAAATATATTAACTACATTTGCCTCTAGGCAAATGAAACACTCGTGATAGATAGAAGTAGATTTAACTGTCTTTGACCCATGATTAAAAATCTCTCTTTCCTAGATCAACTAATGTCCAACTAGCAAGTAAATATCAACCATGAGTGATAATGGATAAGAATCAAGTAGAAGAAGGAGAAAAGTTATTGTTACCTTGAGATAGAGATTGGTGATGGTGATATTGGAGGATAGAGAGAGATACCTGCAATGGTGATGGAGGATGGAGAGAAGAAACGAGAGACAAATGTGGGAGGGTGACAGAGAGATTGCAAGAAAGATGGGGGTAAAAGTTTTTTTTTTTGTCTAATCGGTTATTTTGATTTTTTTTCTTAGTTTGGTTTTTTCATTTATTTATTTTTTATTTTTTTAGTTTAATCAATATTTTTATTTTACTCAAACCTAAAATATATAAACAAAACACTACATAACTCCGATCCATATAGAAGAAAACACATACAAAAGGAAATTTTGAAATGAAATTAATAGCCGTCAAATATAAGTAAATGATAAGATCATTCATTGCAATAAATATATAAATACACAACAATAAAATATTTGATATAAAAATAACCAAAAGACGAGATTTAAGTATAGGACTAAAAAATAATATAGGATAAACATAATTAATAGCATAAGCTTAATGTGAAAGTGGAATTTGTCAACCACAACCTTTTTGAAAACAAGTTTTAAAAGCATGCTTATATATGCTAATGAAAATTAATTACAATAAATAAAGCAAGAAAAACTAGAACAAAATTTTGTTTGTTATCAAAACCTATCCAAAACTATATAAAATAAAAATGACTTATGCTAATGAAAATTAATTACACAATAAATAAATAAAACAAATCATAACAAAATTGTGTTTGCCACCAAAACCTTTCCAAAACCCCATAAACTAAATTATAGTAGTAAGAAAAACCAAAAATAAAATTTAAGATAAGACTATTCATACCAAACTTATTAAAAACAATTTCAAGACAAACGAGTGGATTTGAAAACCTAAAAACAAAAAAACAAAACATAGAATTTTTATATGAAAAAAAAACACACCAATATAATTTTAAAAATATACAAACAAAATAAAATCATAAAAACCCCCCCAACAAATTCAAAATAAATATGTCAACATAAAACACAACAAATATAAAAATAGTCTTTAAATAATAGTTACACTAATAAAAATCATGAATAATAAATGCTATCCTCCCATTTATATCATAAATCATTGAACACCATCTAACATTTTATTTCACCTTAAAACACTACTAGAAAATTAAAAAACATTAACATCATATTATGTTGGGATAATATTTTAGTTTTTTATAGAAACAAGTCATTAAAAAATATATCATTAAGGAATTTTATTTGGTCAGCATTTTCATTGACTATTTCAAATATCGATATAATAAGTGATAAAATATCATCATTTTTTATCAAAAACTTAATCAACAACTAATTTGTTGATAAAATATTTCATTAAAAAATCCTAAACACTTTGTAAGTTTTGTCAAAAGTTTCAGAATATGTGTAAAGATTTTGCTAAAAATGCCAAGAAAAATATCAACATTGCCTCTCCATTAGTGTTTTCACTAATTGCATTCTTTGTTTATTGTTATAATCCCCAAGTTAATATTTATCAACTAAACACACAAAAACAATAACAAGCATCTAATAATTGCTCAAAAAATATTCATAACCACAATAAAAATATACTTGTTGATTGAAACAAAAAAACATATAATAAAATTATTCAATACATATAAATATAATACAATATAATACACCAATAAATGTCTAACACATTTTCAATTTTATTACACTATAAAATATCATATATAAATCAATTCAATATCTTTTAATCATAATCCTCCTCTTCATTTTATTATTATCATGTCCAACATCATTTTCTTCATTAGATATATCATTGACCTCATTATCTTCATCCATTTCTCCATATTTATTGGTACTCAATA